TCTCTGTCCTGTGTGGGCAGGACATTTGGTCTCAGGTCCAGCTGAAAAAGACAGATCTTTGATTGTGCTGACCCATTAGATAGGACTTGTAGCTGCTCATGGAGTATCTGGGGACATCCAAGACCAGAAAGGGACAGTGCTCAACTGAACAACTGGGAAGGGGAGCATTAGGTTAGGGTGAGTGGGAAAGGATGTAGCTCTCAAAGGTGAGATTTGCAACCAGCTCTGGGCATGCCTGGTTATACAAGTCAGTTATCATGGGCACACACATGGAACACAGATGGCATACTGCTGAGATGGCAACTGTGACAGTCAGCAACATATGAGTCACAGACGCTTGGGGCTGTGGGACATGGCCAGCCACAAATCTTTGGCCCTTGGGCCCTCTGGCTGGCCTCCCCCAACAAAGATTGATGTTGGAAATCCATCATAGCCTGGAATGCATGAGCCCAGAAAGGCTTGTGGGTCCTTCTTTTGTGGCCACATAGGTGTCATGCTGACCAGGCTGCTCTCTTAGAATCTTGTCCAATCACCCTGCCCTCCACTCAATCCCAGAGTGGTTTGGGGGCAGCTAAGAAGAGACCTATTCTAAATGTCCCAGCCTGGAGGTCAGGCCCTACAGTGGTCATTCTATAATGTTAGATCATGTATGGACATGGACTTCCAATCTTTATCATATTGCCTCTGTAATTCTTGGGCAACTGTGGCAGTGACATCCAAGCTGAGACCTAGAGACACCATGAACCATCCAGTCTGGTCTCATCCAGTAGCCACTGAGGAGCAGCAGTCCTCAGTGTCCCTCTGTGTCCAGCATGCACGTGAGGACCCTTGTCAGAATGACAGTCATGTCCCCCTGGAGGAGTTCACAACACCTACCTACCACCCCAAGCTCTCTCCAGAGATCTTTGACATCCCCTTATTCTACCTGAGGCCCCCTCGAGGCCTGGAAAGGGAGGTGGCATCCACAGTGCCTGTTTCGGTGGTTGAGTATTCCAGAAGATTTCAGAGCTGGGTGCCAAAGAGTTTACTGCAGGAGGAAATCTGTAGAATGAGTCCTCACTTTGTCGTCGATGGAGGAAGCCCACATGAAGGATTAGTGAAGACCTCCAGGAGGGAGTGGTGGAATCCACCCGAGAAATCCCAGCACTCCACACTCAGAGGCTGTGACAAGGAGGTTTAACCTGGGCCAAGGACGTCAAGACTCTGTCTCAAAAAACGAATGAAGGAAGAGGGAGGGAGGCCTAGCTTTTGTCTAATGTGATATAAATAAAAGCAAAAGATCGTGGATCGTTGGCCTATAGTAACTGTGCTAGGGAGCCACAGATGCATTAAGTAAGAAAAGCGAAGCCCAGTGACACACCCAAAAAGGATTGGTGTACCCAATGACCAGAAAACGTTTTTGGCGAATCACTAGTACTGCCAACCACAAAAAGAAAGTGGAAAGGGGACCAAACAAAATGCTGCTCTGCCACTTGTTAAACTAAATGTAACGTGTGGACCCTCACCTCATTCATATTAAAAAAAAAAAAAAAAGCACTGAAGGCTCAGGAGTAAGAGCAGGACTTTTTATTCTAAGGCTCTGAAAAGTCAGGCATCAGCCCAGAGTGACAGGCATGCTGATTAAGCATAGGCACCTTTTATACTGCTAATGCGGATCCCTTCGTCCCTTCCCCTACTGACTCTGTAATCAGGAGGGTTAAGTCTTACATGTCATCTAGGTCTTTCCCTCTGCTGCTTGGGTTTGTATTTCTCTCTCTTGTATTTTCAATATTTACTTAATGTCTGTCTGCATGTATGTCTATACGCCAGGAGTGTGCAGTGCCCATGATGGCCAGCAGAGGGTATCAGGTACTCTGGAACTGGAGTTCAGGATTGTTGTGAGCTGCCAAGTGGGTGCTAGCAAGCAAACCCTGGTTCCCTGGAAGAGCAGCCAGTGCTCTAACCACTGAGCAATCCCTCCAGTCTATGTTTGTATATTCCTTTATTGAACTAGAAATTGTTCTTGGAGTTTCACGCAATTTTTTTATCATATTCATGGTATTCATTCGTGGATTCATCTCTGATTTGTAAATTATTTTTTTATCAATTCTTAAACAAGAATTTTAATTTTTATTTATCTTTCAAGCTGGCAATAAAATAATGGATTTCATGAGAGCATTTTTCATGCTTATATGTCATTATACTTCAGCACAGTAAAACCAATAGATGACAGATCTCCAGCCAATATTCCATTAAATGAGACACAGAGAGCAAGGAATAATGCCTCTGCTCGATAAGTGTGTGACATCTTGGCTACAATAGTGTATTAGTGACAAGGCCCTCCAGGCAAAGTGCACTTCCATGCCTAGAGTGTCAAGTGGCAACTGCCCTAACTTGAGCTGTGTAGGAGAGGTTGGGATGGGGTCCTGTCACCATGAGGCTGAGACCACAGTAACTAACCTCAAGAAGATCTGGGCAATCCCCTGCAGCTGGAGCCAGCCCCGCTGAGCTGCCCTCAAACGCTAGCCCTAGAACTGTGAGCTGCGGAGCTGCTGATCTTGTGAGCTATCCGTGCGCAGCCATTGTGACTGCAGACCCAGGCAAACTCAGAAGCAGGAGTTCAGCATGGAGTGGCCAGCAGGGATAGCCTGCTGGTTGGGTGGGAGGCCACCTGTGAGCTATGTCCCAGCAGGTTCATGCTCAGGGACGGCCTCACTGACCATTGAGTGACCTGGCCTAGTGAACCCTGCTCTGTGACCCTGGCACCTGGGGGCAGGGTCTGGGAGGGAGAGGACAGCCAAGAACTTCTGTGCTTCTGGAAAGGGTCGTTCCAGCCAGCTATGCAGTGTCAGGTAGAAGGCTTTAGGTGTAGGGAGGGGGAGCACACAGGGCTAAGCATGGCCTGCTTGGTCCCTCACCATGAAGAATCTTCATGGTGCTGGAAGATAGGAGGGGTTTATAGTAGAATAAGAGAGCATGAACAGAAACCAGCTTTGTGCGTGTGTGTGTGTGTGTGTGTGTGTGTGTGTGTCACAGATGGAGTAATACTAAGACCTTCTACATGGTTCCTTTCTAGAAAGAGCAGAGACTATTGCTACAGAGCAGTGGTGGGAGAGGGGCCCCCAGAACACATCTAGAAAGAGTGACTTTTTGCTAATTCAACAATATATTTGTCTTCCAAGCAAATGTCACCAGATAACAAATGTGTGTGGTTTCAGCTGTTGGTTTTCCTGTGTTTGCAGACAGCCCCCATCATCCTATCATATCTAACAATCACCTTCCAAAATGTGCTGCAGACACAGACCACAGACCCATCTCAGTTCGGTATGATAGTAGAGGGAGGGGATAAGCATCCCTGAAGCCCACACCAAGTCTGTCAAGCCACAGAGAGAGGCAGGATGCTGTGGTCTTAGTCAACATCTGTCACATGAGGGCCTACTAGCTGGGGTTTCTGTCCTACCCAGTTCCCACAGCCGGCAAGTCCCAAAGAAAATCACACAGAGGTCTCCATAAGTTATAAACTCAATGGCTCAGGCTTCTTATTAGCTCTTATCACTTATATTAACCCATTATTCTTATCTATGTTAGCCACATGGCTCGGTACCTTTCTCAGCAGGGCAAGTCATATCTTGCTTCTTCCGTGGTCTGTGCAGGACTGGGAGGAATGGACTTCCTCCTTCCTAGAATTCTGTTCTCATCACCCCGCCTCTACTTCCTTTCTCATTGACCCGCCTATACTTCCTCCCTGGTCAATCAGCATTTATTTAAAACATGATTGACAGAATACAGACAATTCTCCCGCACCAAACATCTTTTAACTATGGTGTGAATGCTGTGTGAGCTGTTTTTAGCATGCACTGTTGAGGGATATTGATAAAAACAATCTGAGCTTTTCAGATGCAGTTGTCCCCGTGTGTTTGGTAAGTATACAAGGATACAGAGAAGCTGCTACACCTATAAACTTGCCCAGTCGATGGGGTGTGGCTGCCACCAACAATCCATGGTCTCCCTGAAGCCCCCCTACCATGGCATGTGGCCTGGAGAGGCCACTCAACAGCTGGACCTCACTCTATGTATATATACCATTCCCATGTTCTGGAATCAGTCCCAGGGCACTTCCTCAGAGTGACAGAAGTGGGGTTGTTAGTAGGGGTGTTAGACTTCATAGTTTGAGTGCTTGCAGCCCCAACAAGCAAGGCCCATCATCCATCCTAATACAACAGAGACCAGCCTTGGTTAAGAGCAGAGAAAGCAGATTTATTCCACTCGGACACAGTGGGAGGAGGAATCAGAGGTCCAGTGGTCCCTATATCTGTAGGATACTGAAGAAATTCAGGCACAAAGGGTAGAGGTGTATGTGTAACTAAACAGTCTTTTGGTCAAGGTGTGGTCCCGCCCATTGTTGGCCCATCCTTGTCTCAGCTCAAGTCTCTCCTGCAAGGTGCTCTGCTAAGTTGTCAGAATTGTGTGAGCGTTCTTCCTGGGGGACAAGCCTCTCCCGGGTGACACCAGCCTTTCACCTCCCCCTTCTGTCACTGTAGGACTCCTGGAGATGTTTTGTTGTCTGTTGTCTTGGTCTGGTTGCTGAAAGGTGGGGGAAGGGTGTGCCTCCTCTCCTCCCGGCATCTGTTAAAGGGTCCAGAGGGGAAATGCATGCCTCCTGGGCCAGCATGGGGTAAATGCTAAGTATGCAGATTGGTGCCACACACTCTTAGGAGACCAAGTGGATCTAGACCAGTTGGGGAGCTTACAGAGGTTCCTCTGGGTCCCCAGCAGAGGGCAGCCTCCCCTGGAACACTGACAGGATGGTGCTCCTGGGGCATACTCTTAGGCAGAGTGACCCCTCTCCCCCCTCTGCCCAGCCCTCACCATCATCCAGGTCTGCAATCTTAGTCAACTTCCGGAAGATGATAAACTTGCCCATGACAGGCAAGAGGGGAGGTATTTGTGCCAGGGACTGTGCCAGAATCATGACTTGGTGGATTCAGTATAAGGCTGACTGCTGTGTCTTTGCTCTTCAGGTCTCCTGACAGTCGCAGCCCCTGCGGTGCCCCTGGGAGTGGCCGTGGCTCCCTGGAGATTCTACACCTCAGCCACAGTCCTCCATCCCGTGTGGACACCGCCTGTACTCCACATACCCACAGTTTCCCAGAGGCCTAACCAGGACAGCCCAATTCCTCGTAGCTCTGAGCTCAAGTCTGTCCAGCTGAACCCAGGAGGCCGGGACTCAGACCCACAGGTCAGGGGTGGTGCCAGGAATCAGCAATACCTGGTGTGTGGAGCCTGGCTGCACCCACCCTCCATAGCCACTTGCTCCCTGGAGTTGGAGAACAAGAACAAGGAGGCTGCAGCCCAGCCAGCTGAGCCACAACGCAAGGTCCGGGGACTGTCGGGTGCAGAAGCCACCACTTCCTGTGTCCCAGACTGTCTGAATCACTTTTATTTTCTTATACTTTCAGTATACTCAATAGACCAAAGAGCAAATCTATTTTAACGTGGACGCATCCCTGCTGCCAAGAGTTCCCGGGTTTGATTGTGGGGCGGGGGAGGGCACAGTGGCAGACATGCTGGTGGCCCAGGCAGCATGGAGAGGCCATCCGAGGCCAAGACCCCCGCCCCACGAACACTGCAGCGTGCTCTAGAAAGATGGCTTTGCCCAGAAGGACACCACTGTGGGGCACCTGCAGGACGCAGCCGGGGCGTGGCCGGAGACGGCCCCCAGCGGACAGCAAGGGCCCCTGACACAGACCCTCTGCCCCTGTGCTTAGACCAACTCTGTCGTACTAAAATCACTTTCTGTTTTAACCAGTTAGACATGCCTCTTCCACAGCTCCATTTTTGATAGTTGGATAATCCACCATTTGCCAAGAGCATGCTGGGTCTCCCGTGACTGCTATCTCATCTGATACACCATTTAGCTCCAGAAAGCAAATTAAAGAAAACTGAAGTAACCCTGTTTGAAAGAGATCATTAAATGTATTTTGCAAAAGCCTAAAGTTATATATTTAACAGTTTTTATATGTTGTATATTTGTAGAAAATCCTATTTAACATTTGACGGCAGGTCTGACCATCCCAAGAGTTGTGGCCAGGCCCCCCTGAGACTCCGGGGTGGCCATGGAGGACCTCAATGCAGGCATGGAGGGGCCAAGCAGTGGGTGAGGTACAGAGGACCTTGCCCATGCTAGGAAGCTATGTCTCTCTTTGCTTTGGTTTGGTCTGGTAGCTCACAACCCCCTGTGAGTCTGTGTGTTGGTAAACATTGCGTGTACAATACTTTGGTCATGCCTCCTCTGATGGATTTCGGTCCCTCTCTCTCTTAACTCCCTTTTACCATCCCATAGATCTTGAGTCCATGTTCGGCCAACTTGCCTTCCCCAGTAAATGGCCCCCTTGGTTCTCAGAGGTCTCGGTCTCCACACCAGGAGGCTGAGACAGCAGGGCTGGAGGGGGGCAGAGGAACTGGGGAAGAGTCAGTTTCCTTGGTTGCCCTACATACACTGTGGTGCCAGAGGCCAGCAGAAAAGGGACAGCCACAGTCCCCATTCATTTTCCTGAGTTCTTCTAAAAGTATACTACCTACACGTCCAATTAACATGACTATCATGCTAGTAATATGCTACTAAAGGAAAAAGCAAAAAAAAGAAAATGTATTTAACTCCAGTATATAGATGCCGTTCCAGCAACCATAGGCTAAAGATAGGAAAGAAAGCCCATTTCTGTGAGACGCATTCCAGTATCCACGTGTCTTCCCTTCATTCATGCCGAGGGATGAGCATCCTGGGCCAAGCGACGAGGCTGAGATGAGGGATTCTCGTCAGAGGAGGTGGCCAGGCAAGGCCACTGTCTGCATGGTGCCAGGCTCTGGTGGCCTATGTCACCGGGGACAAGCAGGGCAGGAGGTCTCATCTCACCTCTGAACCTCAACATACATCCCGCCTCCCCTCAGCCGTTTCTTTGGCAAGCTAGCATAGACACCTCCATCTGAGGGCAGAGACCGGGAGATTTAAGATGTTGCAGCGTATTTTCCCCTTGTTTTACGGTATCCGATTTTGTGTTGATTCAGCTAAATTATGGAAATAAAGAAAAAAAAGTCCTTTGATAAGCATGACTTTTGTTCCCTGGCCGTGGTGTCCTGGGAGAGGGGAATAGTCCGTGTGGCTGGTGGGGACAGTAGGTGGGCACCATGCCCTGGGTCCTTCCTGATCACCGCACCTGAGGCTGACGCTGTCACCAGCTCCTGCTTGCTGCACTCTCTGGGAGTTGAGTGCCAAGAATTTCCAGGGCTTGCGCAGTGGGCTCTGAAGCCATTCCTGGTTCAGAGGTTGTACCCAGGGTTTCTATACTATATGATAGCCCTGCTCAGCTATACTCCATACCCATGGGATGAACCCTTGAGCCTCCCAGACGTACCCAGAGGGTAATCATCTGCTTTACCTCATCCCTGTGGGCCAGAAACATCCCAGGTGACCCTAGGGAAGATGGACTGCCATATGTATCTGCCTGTCTCCCAGTTCCTGTGGGCCATAGTGGCCAGGACACAGGGGAGTCCTGTTCCCCAAAGGACTCCCTTTTCACAGAAATCTGTTCCAGCCTCCAAAAAGCAGTCCTTGGAGATGAGGCCTAGAGTCGCCACCCAGTGCCATTTGCCAGCTCCTTGTGACAAATACCAACCCTGAATAGCTTGTGGTGGCTGGGTGGGATACGATGCTCTGGTATTCTGTGCTGTGTTCCAAAGAGACTCTCATCGATCTCAAAGCCACAGGTAGGTAAACAAGACCAGTCTGTCTTTAGGGATCTGGCTTGTGCTGGGATTGAGGAAATAGTACAAGGCAGCTTGCCTTAGCCTACGAAGGCCCCAACTAAACCCTGCCCCTTCTCATGTGAAGTCTGAAGGCCCAAGCCAGGAAGAATCAGCCTAGGCTGGGGCACCCTCTGGCTCCTCCTCAATGGTATAATGTGGTAAGCTATTCTGGAGTATGACAGTCAGAACATAGTCCGAGACAGTGGGACCAATTCCAGGGTCCCCTCCTCCATCCTCTCAACACATGTATGGCATTATTCTCAGGGAGATGTCTTTTCACCCCAAATAGGGAACTGGCAACGGACTAATGCAAGAACTACCAAAGTCCTACATGTTGTATCAATGAGTTTACTGGAGTTTCAGGAGATGGGAGAGGGGTTACTGACAGATGCATAGTGAATTCCAAGGCGGTTACACCACCGAAAGCCCACCCAGCATGGGTGACAACTCATGAAGAGGGAGCTCCCTGCGTGACTTGCAGACAACTCAAAAGATGAGTTTCTTTTCAGCATCTTTATGGCTTACACAACCTTCAGGATAGAGGTTTTGTGACTGATAAAATTTAAAGGATTTTTTTTTAGACTTGTGGATTGTGTGCTTCCTGAGTCTTAAGGATCTTCCCCCAGGATGGAATATTTCAGTTGTGATAAATTGGCACACACCACTGCCCTAAGAAGTCATCATAGGAGAGATACAGGAGTCTGGCACCGAGAGGAAGATCAGCTTCCTCTCCAGCACAACTGGGGCCGGTTTGCGCTGTGTAACAAGCAGCCCTTTCTCCCAAAACAGGGCACCAGAGGGCATGAGGAGTTTTCTTTGGGTAAGGGGCCGATATAGGCCTGTGGAAACATTCCATTCAGGAAACTTCCTGGGCAAGCAAGCTCTCCAGAGTCTGGAAAGGACTGGAAGTCTTTCCCTGGCCCAGAGACACTGAATTGGGTGGGGGGTGCACTTCTCCTGAATAAGGGCATGGCATACACAGGCTTTTGTTATCTCTGGGGAGAGAGCCAGCCTTGCTGCTGGCACTTGGGCCCTGTGGGTCAGTCAATAGCCTTTGTTTCCCCTCCCACCCATGAAATCACCCTGGGTGCTTTCCTTCCCTCCTCACGATGCCCTCAAGGCATCTGGGGGTTGACAGTGGCTCCTCTACAAGTGAGCGAACACCTCTATAAGGTTCTGTACACGCCCAGATGCCACCTGATAGAAGAGAATTCAGGGACAAGAATCTCCTCTCTCTGTAGATGCAAGCCCAATCCAGGACAGCTCTGCTGCAGAGCTGATGCAGTTTCAAAAGCCGTCAGACATCAGGATTCCTCTGGGCCTGGCTACCATGGCAGCCAGGTCAGCTGTCCAGTGGTCAGGGCTTTCATACCTCCCGCCAGGCCTCTGCAGGGTAGATAGATACATAGTAGCGGAGCCATTCAGGCCTAGGCTGATGCCACTTATTTGTATTTTCCATGGAGGATCTGGGAAGTCATGCTTTCTCCCTGAGCCTCAGTTTACCCAGTAGAGGAATGTCAGGACTTTGGGGAGGCTTTTGGACCAAGAGCATGCTTCAGTGCTGGGAACCACAGCCCAAGCACGGCATCACCTCCCCTCTCCCCTTTGGGGACTTTCTGTGCCTGTATCGAGTTCCTGCCTCTCAGAACCACACCCTCGACAGTGACCCAGGACAAAAAATGCTCTGAGCCTTCTCTCCATTATCACGTTCTGGGGATCGGTTGATTTTCACCCCACATTATGGCAGGTAGGCACACCTGTGAAGCCATGGACCCAGGCAGTGGGAAGTTCATGAGCCAGTGCTTGTGCTCAGGGATGTAAGTTGGTGGTATTCTGACACCAGGAGGTGCTACTCTGTGGATAAGTGTAGAGTTCCAGCACCCAGAGCCAGTGGGAAAAGGTGGTGGGGAGAAGGCAGGTGAGCGTGTGAGCATTGGTGATGGTGGCAGAACACCAGCATCAGAATGCAGGTGCTTGGGGCTGGCACAGACTACATGTCAGAGTGTGTATGCACGCGTGCTCAGCTTCACCATCACTGAAAATGCAAAGCACTTTCTGATCCGGAGTCCGGAAAGGGTCCCTGTGGTGTTTCCCACCGCACTGAACCCCAAGATGGTGATCAGAGGTGTCCCTGGAAGGTAGGGGATAGCTGAGGTAAAATGACCTAAGGTGACAGCTACTGTCACCCAGAGAGAGTTTTGCTCCCCTTTCCCTGCCATGTCTGCGTCTTCCCTGCCTCCTGTTAGACACTTGACATCTGGACGGAAAGGCACATGGAGATCTTGTCATGAGCTGCCCCTCAGCTTGAGAAGTGGGTAGACATACAGGGCTTGTTTCTCACAAAACTGTCCCTAGCATGGAGAGGCCCCAGATCCTGGGGGAATCCAGGATTTCACCTGACAGGAAGACATGGGCTTCTGTCCTTCACTTGGCAGTGTCATCGATAGGTTCTTCCCTCCTACCTGTCTGAGCTGACCGTGGCTATTCCCCGGCAAGGCCAGCCAAGGGTTGAGCAGCAACGGGAAAGGCAGGTAGGGAAGGGTAGAATGGGCTTTGAGTGGTGTGATCGTGCATGCCATCTTTCAGGGATGAAGGACTAGATTTGAGGGTCGTCTGTGTTGCTCCACAGAAAAACCAGTATCTCAGATCCCAGGATAGTGACCCTTTGTTGTCCTAACACATATCCATCCATCCCCACTTCAGGGTTCTGCCTCCACCTCTGTCCCTCTTTGTTTACCCAGCTCAGCCTGCTTACCAGTCAACTCCCCCAACAACATGTGTGTGGGAAGGGGTACAGGATTTGGTCCCTCCTCACTCCTGGCCAGGTGCCTGCCAAATGGAGACATGACATTGCCCAAGATCCAATCTAATCTTTGTGCTCCCTCAAACCCGGGGTAACTATCATGGTTTCATCTCCTCAGAGCTCCTACGTGCTGGCTCCTTGCAGTGAGGGCTCATCTCGTTCTGTGGCCTCACGTACCTTCATCCAGAAGCCAACACCTCTGGGACATGCTGCATCCGAAATATATTTCATTTCTTTGTTTGTGCCTGAAGTCATGGAATTACTCTGAAATAATAACCACATTTGTTTTCTGCTTTTAAGAATATCATTCATTTATTTCCCCTCCGCCAATGCTTCAGGGGGGAGAGTTTGTCTCTGTCACTGGTCGTGGGTAGCCATTGGCC